GCACTTGGCAGATGTCACATGCCAACATTCGGCTTGAACAGTGGTCAGAATCCCGGAGGGTTTTGGTTCCAGACTTGCTGATCTGCCTCGGAGCGAAGGGCCTTCAACTTTTCAACAGAGTGGCAAGGTGAGAAGAGTAGGCTGCCTTTACCTCTAGTCATTGACTGGGGATTAAGACTAAAGAATGCCATATGCACATATAAATGACCTCCAGCCTTTGCTTGTAGGAAGCACACTAGGAAACAGCTTAAAAGGAGATTTCCACCAGTGTGGTGCCACACACCTTTAATCCCAGCACTCAGGAGGCAGAGGCAGGCAGACCATGAAATGGAATGCTGTGTAATCTGTGTTTTCTGCTTTGTGGAGATGAAAGTCTAGTTTAAAAAGTAACAGAACAGTGGGATTCCACTGGGGATGCCGAGGTCACCAACGACAGCCGATCTCAGGGGAAAGGGAGCTCAGGAGTCTGGTCCTCAGAGACAGCAGGGAATTGGTCATTTTCAGAGTAGTGCAAGGGTAGTAACCCTTTGAACAAAAGAGGCTTTTAAAGGCAGGTTCTAGAAAAGCAGTCCAAGGGGCTGGAGAGATGGTTCAGAGGTTAAGCACACACAGTTCTTGCAGGGAACCCGAGTTCAATTCCCAACACCCAGGTGGTAACTCAATCTCCAGGGTATCCAATGCCATCTTCTGGCTTCTGGTGGCAAATGCATGTAAATGCACATGCTAATACACAGGCACACACATACACAGAGACTTAAAATAAACAACCAACCAGAAAAGCAGCCTGGGTGGGCAGTGGGACCCAATGTCTGTTCCTAGAATTCCTGGTCCTGCTAAAGGGATGGGAAGGCAGACTTTCACTAGGGAACCACAGCCGGTGACAGAAAGATGCTGAACTTCTCCCAACATCTCTGTTGTTGGTCAAAAATTGGGATTCTATTTGGAAAGCCCTTTAGATATGGCATCAAAGGACAAGTGGCCTTCTGAGTGAAGATATGAACACTTGGAATCAGACAGCATCACTAATTACACAATAAAATAGGGCCAAAGACAGTGTTCATAACCACCTTTCTTTAGGAAGCTTGGTGGCTGAAGAAACAGGCTTCGAACTTAGGCTTCAAGGCAGGTGGTGAATAGTGAGGGCTTGAGGAGCCAGGTAAGTAGGGTGAATGGCTGATGGCCTTGGTGGGGAGCGAGACGAGATCTCCAGCCTTGCCTCTTCCCAGCTAGTTTCAAATGGATTCATGGCAACACATCTGGTATTGCTAACTAAAAAGTGCCAGTGTTGGCTGTTCTTGCAGAAGACCCGGGTTTGAATCCCAGCACCCACATGGCAGCTAGCAACTGTCTGTAACTCCAGTTCCAGGGGATCTGACAGCCTCTTCTGTCCTCCGCAGGCATTGCACGACATGGGTGTACTTACCTACATGCAGGCAGTACACACATACACATAAAAATAATAAAAAAATATTTTTTTAAAAAAAGTGCCAGTGTTGAAATATTGGGAAGAAACAACTACTAAGGAAAATGCATTCTAGGCTAAGCCAAATATCTCTGTTTCCAAATCTGGCTGTGGGCTGCTGTCTGTGGCCTCTTCTTTGGAGTCTCTAGAGACATTTTAACTCAACTCTAGCTTTTGGACTAGCTATTAAACCTCGGACACTCAGCTTCCTCATTCATAAAATGGGGATAGAGTAGAAAAATAGCTTTATTTTTGTCTTTTTCATGAACAATTAGTTATACTGCTCATGTCACTGAATAAAAGCATGTAAGGTATCTTTCTGTGTCTGCTTTTAAAAGAACTCAGCAAATAACTCTTCTATGGACCCAAATTATGTATTTTTTCAATGTTTTCTTCAAAAGTGAGGAAACAAGTGCATCGTCCTAAAATTACAATTCAAGCAAAGATTGTTGCATTAACGACGCTCTTTTGGTGAGTGACTTTGACCAGGATGATTTAAGCTTTGAAATCACAGAGGAGAGCCACCTTAGTTTAGGGAAAAGCAGATGAAGTGTCCATCTGTTGCTATAATGGCACCAACACAGAAGTCACAACATGGTCATAGGGACACTCACAGATTTAGAGTGACATAGTCTGCCTACCTTTTCCCATTTGGAGGTAGGATGGGATGAAGGGATGGAATAGGCTTAGGGTAGACACAGCAAGCACATGACCATTTACAGAAAAGTGATTTGTTTCAGAACCAGCAGCATATAGACTGCTCATAATTAATAACTACCATAACCTGTTTAAAACGCTAAAGTCCCCCTGACTCCCCTTTGAGTCTCCACAGGCCTCTCCACTCTACCCCCTTGGTCATTTATACTAGGGGAAAGGAATTATATAGTATGTCCACTATCCAGAGCCTCCACTCTTTTGACCCCTTTGCTGATACAAGTAAAAGTGATGATCTGCTTCCTGTTGCCACTGGGGGCTCTGTCATCTTAGAATTCAGCAGAGGAACAGCAGGAAGACCCTTATTACTGTCTAAGGGATCACTGATGGTTACCATAGAAAGAAACCGGTGACGGTGTTTAGGAAGAAATTTGCCTGCAACAGTACTGTAATTGAGCATCCAGAATATGAAGAAATAATTCATCTACAACATCTACAGGGTGACCAGCTCAGGAACACATGCCTGCCTCTGATGGCTAGACTGGAAAAGGACAGTAGACTGGGGGTTCCTTTTGTGAGGTGGGTGTGTGGGTTCACGTGTCAGGCTGACGTTGGTTATCTTCTTTCCCTCTCTATTTACTGAAGCAGAGTCTCTTGTTGAACTTGGAGCTAGTCTAACTAGCTCTTGGGATCACCTAAGGGCTAATCATCTTCTGATTACTGAGGTTACAAGTGGTCCACTGAGCCTGCTGTCTTTTATGTAGATGCTGGGGTTTTGAACTCTGACCCTGACTCTTGGGTGGCAAGCACTTTATCCACCAAGGTAATTCCCAGCCTGGATTCATGGGTTTTACTCGTGATTCTATGAAGCTTAAGTCAGATTTCCTTGCAATGAGTAGAATTTCCCTCTTGTCCCATGTCACAGGTTTTAAAACCTTTCAACTTATATGATGTAACCATGTGGGGTCAGTTTTTAACTCGGACTAGTGTAACTCCTTCACGCAATAAACTGAAAGAGTCAAGAATAGGAAAAGATCTGTCCTCTCTGTTATACTGGCTTAATGCCTTCTCTTTAGATCCTTACTGGTCTTCTAGATGCCTGGAAGCCATGAGCAGATTTCTTTTCTGAGAAAAGAACCTTTAAACTGTAGTATGAAAGAATTTGTTACAATGACTTTCCATATCTTGCTCTGCTGGATGCCGTGCAGGGTGAATCAGGCTCTCCAACTTGGGAAGGACATGTTCTTTAGCTCTTCTAAGAGCTAAGATGTATTCTGATGACAACAACAGAGATTTTTATATTCATACAAGGTGGGACAAATAACAAGCAAGAAAATAATAAAGATAAAAAGTAAGAGGAGAAATGTTTGCATTCACTCAGAAGAGTCTGATGCAAAAGTAATTTTGCCTTTTTTCACATTGTCCATGAAGAAATGAGATTTTAAAATTCAGTCATCCAAGAGATTCCTTGGAGAGTTAAGGTAAGAAGAACACACAGATACATAGAGAGGAGAGCATTCTGGGTACTCTGTGAGCTTGAGCTGAGGCTTAGAGATAGGAAGGGAGGAAGGCTTACATAGATTTGAAAAGATTGGCATGGAGGGATTTTGGGGAGGACCGAGAGGCGAGTGGCTCTTCCGAGAACTGAAGGATGCGGGGGCTGTGCTATTTAGCTCCCAGATGCCACCTTCCTCTGCAGACTTGGGGGGAGCCCTCACCTTCCAGCTTGGTGCTCATTTAAGCAGACCTCTTTGCATGGTGTTCCGGTTGGTTTAAGTCAATATGCCGCTCTCTTCTTTTCTACAATCTTCCCGAGTCTAGGTTTATATGATTCTGAGCTGGTTCTGGGGTTGAGAACTCAGGACAGAGAATAATTGCATCATTTCTCACAGGAGCAATTGGAGTTTCACAGCGACTCACTCTGAGCCAAAATCATCATCAATATTACATGGCATTTTATTCATTTACTTTTTATTATATTATTAAATTACATTATTTTGGTCAGTTGTCATGTTCTGTTTGTGTTCACCGAGAAGTTGGCTCTGGAAACAGGATTGGCTCTGCCGCCACCCCCAACTTCAGACTCAAGATGCTTGTCTCATGGAGTCCTCCAAGGCCCCTTGTCTGGGGATGGGCTGCTCAACTCTGACAGCAAGCAAAGAGAGCAGCAAAACAGCTCAAGAGAGAAACGTTGTATCCTTGAGAACAGCTAGAAGGTGAACCATTTCCAGCTGAGGTTACTGTTGTATATCACATTACATAAAGTGGGAAAGAGAAGCCAAGAAGTTTAGCCATGGGAAGTTCATCATGGAGGGAAGCTCAACTGGTAATTCCAACTGACTGCCTCAACTTCCCTAGTCAATTCCTGTTGGATGTTTTGAGCACCTGATTTGATGATGTCCCTCCCTCCCTCTCTCCCTCCCTCCCTCCCACTTTGGTTTGCTATATGCTTAATAAATTCACTCATTCAGACCTGAAGTTTGGCTATGGTAGATCATTCTACCATATGGAACAAGTAGCTGTCAACTGCTTGTGTGGGAAAAGCTGGCTCGAACTTTGCCCTTGCTACTCTTGGTTCCTTCTTACCCCGAATGTGCTTGTCTGGAATTTCTCATGAAAATGATATTGATTTTTATTAGGCTAAGCTTCTTCCAAGGACTCTCTTACTCTTTCAAAAATATTGTGTCTCATGATCAACTGTGATTTACAAATGTAGAAGAGGTTGAAGATTAATTTCTTCCCAAATCTTTGATCCTGTCAGTTTAACTCAGCTGGAGTAAAGGGATGACTGATTTGAAATGTAATGAATAGCTAGCTAAATACACGCATATTTGCATTTGTGCAAAATATTTCAAGATGATAGTATTTTCATCTTTAGCTGTTCTGAGTATAGATAAAAGAAAGCAAAAGTAGAAATTTATGTTTAGAATAGCCTAAGAAGAGTTCGGTAGTGGGGTTTGCTGGCTCCCTACCTGTTTACCAGCTGTGTCCCTTCTGGCAACTCATACTTCGCTTCAATCTCTTTTATCATATGTGGGAAGAAAGAAACCTGTTCATACTAGCGTTGAGATTAGATTCGCTATAGGGATTAAATAGATCAATATATGGAAAGTTCTTAAAGAGTGCCTGATTCACAGTCAATATTGGATGAACCTGAGCTGGGGTGATGAATGCTATTCTTAATAACTGTGACTGAGATTGAAGAAATAGGATCCTTGAAGGTAGGGTTAAGCTGAGTTCACACTGGTCTAACATTCTCAGGTAGTCAAAGTTTACTGACTAATCTTTACTCAAATATCAGAGGACATTGGAGATTCTGGATATGGGCAGGCCTTCTGCTGTTCCATCCCCAGGGAATCACCAGAGGCTGAGATAGCCAAATGAGATCTCAGAGCAGGACAACACGGAGATGCTTACAGTACCCAGCCTATTCATCCTCAGTTCTACTAATGCCTTGAGAGGTCTACATCAAAGAGGACTCTCATCTTTAATATTCTATATATCTACTTACATATGATTTTTTGATAAATACTATATATTTTAGGAGATAGCACCTTTTTGAAGATTAATCACTCGCCAAGCATAAAATTTTTCTTCCTTTTAATTATAAAGGGCAGCCAAGTAGTTCTTGAGTTGCTGGGGAATATTTTATAGACCATGAAGTTAGAAAATACAGCGTGTGGCCTTATGTTTCCATTGACTTATTGGGTATTTCCAAGCACACATGAGGAAATCTGAAAGTTGGGTGTTTTGTACACACATGTCCTGTTAAAGTTTGTGGCAGTCTGTGGGGGAATCCCACCAAAATCATGTCTATCCATAGGCAACTTACCAGCTTAAATAACTGTGGGTTTGGATTTTATTGCCAACTTGTTATCTTAATAGTATTTCCAGACAGAGAAATAGCAGAAGGAAGGGTCTTTTATACTTCCCTGTATAAAAACAAATAGGTTCTTGAGCAGTTAATTGGAGAATGCGTAATTGCAGCTCATGCATGCTGATCTTAAAATGGGAACATTGAACATCTGGAAGATGAGTCTGGGTTAGGGCCCTGGCCTTTAAATTCATGAAATTGTGACCTTCAAGTGGCATAACCAAGTGGATTTATGTACACAGGCAAAAATGATGAGGGTGATATGAACTAGCTTGCAAAGCGAAACAGTTCAGGGCAGATACTCAGTCACAACAGAGCTAGGACGGTGACTGCCTTCTTTGGCCTAGAAATGAAGTCTATAAAAGAGAAGGTATTTGAACAATTTGTTCTTCAGTGAGAAACACAAACCTGGTCTCTGGAATGCACTACTGCACAGGATGTCAGCTTTAGAGGGTCTGTTTGGGGAAGGAATGATGAAGAACAATTTATAGTTACGGAGGCAGGGGAGTCATAGAACCAAGGAGTAGAGTTGTCCCTTCATACATGGCAGATATGCTCCAAGCACCCCCATGGATGCCAGAAGACAGGTCATACCTAACTATATAGATGACTGTTTTCCTATTCAGTCAATTATACTTATGATAAAATCTAATTTATAAGTTAGGCATAGTAAGAGATTAACAGTAATTTCTAATAAAACAGATCAATTATGACAATGTATTACAATAAAATTGATGGGAAAATTATCTCTTTCTCTTTCTCTTAAAACATCTTATTGGGATACATTCACCTTTCTTATAATGTGAGATGATGCAATGCTTCTCTGATGAGATGAAGTGAGATCAACGATCCAGGCATTGTGAGTAGCATTAGGCCGTTACATATAGGTACCTCAACACACTGTAATCCATGACAGTCAGTCTGATATCTTCAATGACTACCATGAGCAGGTAGCACATACAGTGTGGATACACTGGTCAAAAGATGATTTAGTTTCAGGTAAGATAGAATGGGGGTGCGGGTGAGAAATTTTATCATGATACTTAGGATGATGTGCAATTAAAAACTTATTTATTTCCATTACTTTCCATTTGATATTTTCAGATCCTGGTTAACCAAAGGTAACTGAAATAAAAAAAAATATTGCCCAACAGTATGGGGCAATACTGTTCAGCAAAACTTACAGAGTAATTATCGAGAGAGAATATTGTGCATTATCTTTTCGTCTCACTCTCTACCATGAAACAATTAGAATATATTTATATAAGGTGTGTAAATATGTCTCACCCTGCTCAATGTATTAGGGATGCTAATAAGACAGAGTACTTCCATTTATCTTCTCCAAAGCTATAAAAGAGAAGGCTCTCTTCCCCCCCTCCTTTTGTTGCTGTTATTATTGTTCCTTACTTGGGTTTAAGAATGCCTTCGAGAAAACTGTCTTTCTCTTTTGTAGTAGATTTTGTCTATAATTAGCTTTATGTAGTATAAGAATAAAATTTCAGGGTTCTTGAAATATTTTATCCTTTGTATAGAAAGAGAATTTCAATGTCTCTTAGTAGGATCCACTATACCTAGTCTAGCACCATTTTAATTTGTATAATTTAGATTACTCTAGAGAAGATGCAGCTTAAGCATATGGTCTAGAGGCAAGAGGAAATGGAGTGGGAAAGTAGAAGATGGTGTTGAAGGCTGAATATTTTTGATTACTTGGTCCACTGCAGTTCACTCACTCCTTGTGAGATGTAGAGGAGACAGGTGTGTGCACAGAGTGAGGCAATTCACAAATACTCCCCCATGAAATGGAAAATAAAAATAAGAAATCTTATTGTGAGAACTATGGTTCTTTAATGTTCAAATATTAACAGACATCTTTCTTTGCAGGACATTACTAATTATTTACTGATCAAACCCCATAACTCAGGAAGAAAACAGTGTTCAAGAAAAGCATTTAAATAGGGTTTGATTGACATGTGGCTTACTGAAGTCAGGGTAATAGTTAACTAATTAAAATAAATTTTTCATCTCAATATGTCTTTAAATTTGGGATCCCTTGGAAAAAATTCCAAAGTGCATTATAACTTTTCATAAGGGTGACACATGGTCCTATTTTTCCAAAGACTTTGATTTAATATTTGAATGCAGTGGTATTTGACTTTGTTAGTATAGACTATTTAAACTTAAAAAGAAAATACCTTAATTTGCTTATGCATAAGTCTATTAAAAAATTCTAGGGGCTCTTGTTATGTTTATTCTCTAGAACATAACCTATCTTTGAAGTGGTATATTAGTTTTTAAAAAGTCATTCCCAGGCTGAATAATTAGACTGCAAACAAAAGCTATTCTTAGAGTATGTTCCCCATAGACGGCTAGCCACATGGTGCTTTGATTCAAATAATATTCTTATAAAACTTTGTTATTGTTAGAGTTCTATATTCAGAATGGAGACTTTGGTTTTGATGATTATTCCATCCTGAAACAATTTCCCCCTTCCCAATTAAAGCAGAATTAAGAGCACATTTCTATCTGATGAAGTTTGGAAATATAGACCTCACTGTATTCATTTTGTCTCTTCATGGAGGGCTCAAAACAAAACAGAATCGATTGTCTAAAGTTTTTCCTCAAAGAGAAAGGTGGCTTTTGTTGTTTTGATCTTAGCCTGTTGTGCATTTTTATTGGGTATTAAATATAAAAACCATGGACTCATCTGGTTTTCTGTTCCATTCTCATCAATCACAGAATATTCTCAAACTAGATCAAAATGCCTAAGCCCAAATACCATTTCAAAATGAATTTATCATCACAGAAAATGGAAAGATTTCAAAGTGTAAGAAAACTATCCAATCAGTTGATGAATATGCCATACAGTGCTAAAAATAGATGCATGCACTTTAGATGACAGATGATAGGATATCGACACACAGTTCTCACCATTTTTGACCTCTTATTCTACCAGTGCAAGAGGCTGTTAGTTAATGCAACAGCTAGATAGTTATTGCTTCCACAGTATAAACCACGATGCCAAAAGAGCTCTTTTCCAAACATTTTAAAGCACATCAAGTTGTTTACATGTCTTCTTGAGATGATTTTCCTATAGCTTAGTGCCAATTTTTCTTTGGTTAAAAAAAAAAGAAAACAACTTCTTTCAATCAAGACAACTGTACTTAATTAAATTCCCCCCATACAGAGAATTATAGGAAAATTACAGTAGCTGATTTGAGTCCATCATCATTAAGTCAATGCAGAGTTCTAGAAAATGAATGCAAATTACAAATGTGGAGTTGTGTAATTAAACATCAAATAGTCCAGATAATAAAAATCATATATGAGTTGCCTCTCGGCTCCACTCAGGTCCTTTAAATACTGCCTTACCACTTGAGCACTGGTTCTTTCATCAGAGGAATGTCTATCCTTAAAGTTTGGAAATTTCAGCCCTTTCGGAGCACCTATCAGTTGTAAAAAGTAGTTGGCATCTTCCTCCAAGGTTTCAAACTTCCCTACAAAGTCATAACTGATCAAACACGGATAGCACAACTTGCTGACCTTTTCCCAGTGAATGTCCATTCCTACTGGACGGTGAACATCCAGCAAATAATGGACGAACTCTTTGAATTTGACTCCAGATCCATTATTTAAGTCTTCTGCACAGGCATTGGGACGATATTTCTTTATAATTGCCCTCCCAAACACTGGATGGTAGTAACTATTAGGATGTTCAAATTTGTCCCTAAAGGCTGACACTAATCTTTCCATGGGGTCACGAACAAACACAGCTTTCACGTAGGTGTTCAAGCGCATGTGTATTCCTTTTAAGTCAAAGCTATCTAATGTTTTCAGATGTTTCCCATAGTGCACGGCATCATGGGAGATGTTGTATGTAGAGGAAGCCAACCCATTTAAGACCATCAGAACCCTTTTCCAGTTGGAGCAGCCAGCCTTTGGTACTTCACAGTACAGGATCTTGTGTTTGTCTTCTACGTAGATCCTAGATACCACATGAAACAGTTGGGACTGGGGATGACTCACTCCACCATATTTCTTGCAAAACTCCTGAAGGAAGGACCTACGTTTCTCTTGTGTCTCATCTATTTTCTTCCATTTGTTGTCTTTGGCTAAACTTTTGTTCAAAGGATGAATGACCAATGGCCAGCTCATCTCATTGGACTTCTTAAAAGGAGTCTTAGCTTCTTGATGCCTTTCAATTGAGTTATCTGTTGATGATCCTGTGATCTTACCCAAAGCTTGATCCTCCACTTGTGACTGACTGGCCTTTGTTAAAACCCTAGTGGGTCTCCCGGAGTTGAGTAAATTTTCCTTTTTCTTCTTTAGATCCTCAGGCATGTGAAACTTGGATTTCTGTTGAAATAGGAAGAAGAGATGTTGGAAGCACATTCACAAGTATGTGGGCAGTAGATAAGAAACTTAGCATATTTGTTTTCAAATACGACTGAAGAGCGCATACTGAGCATAAGCAGGCAGAAACAATTTAGGAAGGCATGCTGAATATCATTTTGTGGTAAGATTCTTCACAGAAATGATATATGTAGTCTAGGGATGAGAGGGGCCTGGGATTTTTTTTTTTTGTCCTGATTTTGCCTGTAAAGCAATAAAATATAACTCAATGATTCTGTGAATTAATGATTCTTGAGCTATAAATGTCATATTTTCAAATAGTATTTCTGAAGGTAGATTAAAAACAGTATTTTTATTAAAAATAGTATTTTGCCTGAGACTGTTGTTTTGAGTGGATCTGTGTAATACATACCATAGTTAATATGAATAAATGACAGAAAAATTGTAGCAAGGTCTAACCCCAATGATCAAACCCAATGAATATTTCAGTTTTCTAAGCATTTACAAAAAGTGGTATATTTGGCCTCTTCAAAAATACTTTGCTATTCTAAATTCATTTATCACAATCATTTGAGAATTCTTGTCATGATATCATGCAATTTCATTCATATGTCAGATTCTCCATCTTCCCCAACTGAGAAAGGAGTAAAGAATCCAGAATGGGTCGAGCTGATGTCCTATTGTGTAAAATATCAAAAGTAGATTGAAATGTTTTTTTCTTGTCTGAGTCAGTTAACTTACATTCCACATAGTTGTCATTTGATTATTTCTTTCCTACACCTCTTGTATGAACTGGGAAAGAGAAGTCTTTGAAGTTGGGATTTACACAGGGTATTCTCAAAACAAAAATCACAAGGACATTGACTTCTATTCTGGGTAAGCTAAGGAGCTTTTGGGGTGGGGAGACTGAGAATGAACACAATATCGTTTAAACTTGGAAAAGACTGGTGATCAAAGTACAGGGTCTTCATTCAGCACATTACTGGAAAATTTAACAAGTAAATGTTGTACTGTGGGTATAGTACATGATGGCACCAGCATAGAGGTGGAAGAGGTGGGAAGTTCCCTACATTTGTCATTTGTATCCCCTGTGTCTAGAAAGGTCTATAGCTGATGGTAGTTGCCTTTAAATGTTGTGAGTGATGGAATTAGGTCTTCAAAGACAAAATTTTCTAGCTAATTGAGTGAAAGGGCTGAGGAATGAAACATTACATGCACTCTCCTGAAAGTGTTGCAGTCCTTCACCAGCTGAACTCAAGAGGGCCAAAAAGACTGTGTGAATAATCCCCAACTGCCATAAACCAACTGGTGTAGCCTCATTAAAAAATCACCCCAGATCCTCTATATTGTTAAACCACTTAGTTGAGGTCTCAACGCTAAAGCTATGTATGTGCAGTCTTTTCCAGAAATTTCTGGGATTCTTCAAAGCCCCATATCCTTCTTTGTTCTGATCAATAATTTATAGTCCATTATGTTGGCATCAATTATGTACAATGTTTCTGTAGGTTTCAAAGATCATAGAGTTACTGCTGGACATGTGTGGGAAATACTACACACGGGCCTGAAATAAGTTGCCATGATTTATTACAGTACTACATCCTCCAATACCACTTTAAATAAAAATGACCATTTTGGTGTTTCAGTAGTCACAGTAATATTACTTGATCTCTGCAATGTAATGGGTCTCAAGTTTCCTCAGTTGTCCGTTACTATCCATAATCTACTATATTGCAATTTGTGTGTCTATATGTGACCTAATTGGTTCTGTTCTTTGCTTCACAAATAAACTCAAACAAAACCAAAATCAGCCTTCTGCTGTCCCCTCTGGATCTGTTCTATGGTCATCAAGTTCCCCTTCCATCTCCATGAACTTCAAGAATGTTTTTTTTTTTTTTTTTTCATGATTTTCTCAAAATAGTACTCTGCTTGCTTTGCTCTTTGTTAAGTAAATGAAACTTCATTTTCTGGAACCATGTGTCCCTCAGTTCAGGAGGTAAGGAGCTATTCCACACCTACGTGTCCCTTGGCTCAGAAGGTAAGGAGCTGTTCCATGCTGTCTTGCTCTGATCCCAGGATAGTTCCAGGGAGACCTTTGCTTCCATGAAACACATGTTCTATGGATCTCTGTCTCTCCCTCCCACTGGACTCTACTTGGTGTCCTGAAGATTCTAGTTTCTAATTCAGATCTTGTATCTTTATCCCTATTCTTGGCATGACAGAAACTTAATAGAAGAGTTTTCCACATCCACCTTGGCGGTCAACAGGGCTTGACCCACCTCCATCAACTCCCTATTCAGCTCATTGTTATTTTCCATTGTGCCATCTTTGGGCGACCTTTGCTAGTAACCAAAATAAAGGACACGTTCTGAAGACTTGCTCTCCTATGCAGGGAGAATGCTCTATGGTGGACTTGAATGTTTTAGAAGAAGAGATAGACCTCAAATGTAAGATTGAGTGTCACATCTGTCTCTGGGTGGAATACATAACACTATTCAGACTTCTAGCAGACAGAACCACTGGCTCTTCATCATTCAGCTCTCCGCCAGAAAGTTACCTGTGTTGTGAGGCTTCTTCTGGCCACCCTTTCTAAGCCATGTTCCTTATGATCCTCTCTGTACTCTACTGATTTTTCTCTCTGTACTGATGGCCACGGAAAGCACAGTGTGGAGGTGCATAGCATGACTCGCTTGCTAATTTAGATTGGTTCAAAGTCACTTGGAGTTGCTTTAGACCCTGAGTAGGGATTGTCAGCATGTGAGTTGTAGGCCTCACTGTGGACACAGTGAATCAGTCTCCGAGGATGTGGCTCCCCAGTGTAGTTAAAACAACTTCTCCTGGTGTTCTAGAGGCAGTGGTGGCATTTGGTGACCACACAACTTCAGTAACAAAGGAAATTAAGAAAATGAAAGATAAGTTCTGAAGACTTGCTCTCCTATGGTGGACTTGATTGTTTTAGAAGAGGAGATAGACCTCAAATGTAAGACTGAGCATCACATCTCTTCCTGAGTGGAATATATAAAATGTTTTCCCTTTATCCACTTCCCTCCGATGGATGTTTATGTTCCCTAAGCAGCTTTTATACAAAGGAGATAACAGCATGAAGAAAAGCCTCACCACATGTAATGAGTAGGGAGGTCTTCAGATTCTTGGTACTTTTTCTCTCCTTCCTAGTCAAGGTTTCCTCTACTGATCAATTTGAGATACAGGAAAAGGGGTCATTCTCTAAAGCACCCCATGGGCTCTCTTGTGAGGCTTCCAGATCTTTTCCTAGAATTCCTCACATCATTATCACTCATCCTAATAAAGTTCATACCAGGATGTGGTACCTTCCTCCCTCCCCATTCTACCTAACTCCAATTCAAAGCTTTTGAGGAGTGAGGAGTTTGGACTACTAATATTAAAGTTAATGACACGCTAGAATTGGAGTTTATACCAATGAATACCCAATACCTTCATTCTAACAACGCTAACAGTAACAGGAATGAAAAGAGAGTGAAATCTTGTCTGCATTTTCTTGGGGCTTGTCCTTTGATTAGCTTGGGGCGAACACTGGCAAAGTCAAACACGACTCCTCCTGAGTTCTTTTCTATTCCTGAGCACCCAGTCACAAAATCTGAGTCTCTTTAATAATCAAGAGTAAAGCAGCTGTTTCATGTTTTATAATGCCTGTGTCTTTCATCTTTTCAAATTTATTTTCCTTTTTTACATGTCCATAAATAATATGATTTACTTTGTAGCCTGATAATTTATTACCTCTTAGTTGAGTATTCTTCAGTATCTTACTAATTAGTGTTCTCTAAACACATTGCTTTTCACTCTTTGACATTTTAGACTGGCTCTACTCGACACAAACTGGAGTCCTGACTCCTGTGCTGGCATCCGTAGACTGCCTTGGCTGGGACTTCTCACTGCCTTTAACATCCATCTTCCATCCTTGCATTTTCTATCTCCCTTCCCTCCATCCTCACCCTCTTTTTCTAGATTAACATCACAACGCTGGTTTCTTCATGGAAATCACCCAATGTCATTAAAAGATGTCATTATCAACTAGTCTATACCACCTGTGAAGAATATAATTTTATTGCACCTTATGTTTATTATTTGATATTTTTCATTGCAGAAACTGTTTAATCACAAATTAGTTGTAAGCTATGGCTATAGTTTCTCATAAATATCTTTAATAAGTGGACACTGCAAAATTAGTTGAAAGACATATGACTACAGATCAAAAGAACAAGTATTCAAATAAATGGTAAAAACTGTGGAATATTCATTAACTCCACAGCAAATTTACAAACTTCAATCTTCATTTTTATTTTAGGGTCTCAAAATCGAGTATACCTCCCCTGAGATTTTTTTCTTCAATCTTCAACATCAAACTGAATTACTTTTCTTTTTTTCAACTAGTCATTGGGAGCCTTTTACCTACCAGGTGTGTGCTAAATGCTAAGAGTGAAATGGATGAAATTTGTGGCTCTTTGAGGAAGCCAAAGTTTAATTAGGTTGAAAAATAAGGTGTTTAAGAAAACATGTGATAAGTGCATAATGAAAAGATGCATCAGACATTTGGGTTAACAGAGAAAATAGTACTTTATGTCTCTGAAGAGATTTTGGGTCCAAATTGCAAAGTTGATGATGTGTCAAATGAATATAAGATGATGTCTGAGAAGCCAGCAGATGAGGAGGCCAGTGCAGGGAGGGGCTCTACACTGAGAGTCCACAGGACCAGATTAAATGAGAGGAAGAAGTGGCCAGGGCTGGGAGTCACGCTAGGAGCACTTTAGCCTAAATAAAGGGCTGTGTTCATGTGTGTGTTTGTGTGAAGGTGCACATGTGAATGTGGGTATATTTGTGCACGGCACATCTTGCAGGTCAGAGGAAAACATTTGGTCTTGGTCCTTAGGTGCCTTCCATTGCTTATGTGAGACGGGGTCCCTCACTGACCTGGAGCTTTGCCAAGTAGGCCAGGCAAGCTGGTCCATGAACTTCCAGGGATCTGCCTG